GGCTATACTCCCACAATGCAAGTAGAAATTACTCTTGTGTTCTTGTCTGTAGAAAGGTGTGTGGCTTTGATGATCTGCACTGTGATGCCTGCAGGCCATGGTGCAGAGGGGCAAAATCATAGCCCAGTCCTTCCTGTGAATGAAGGCCTACTGTATGACTTATATATGACCAATATTCTCACATACTCTAACATACCTACCAACATTACAAAAGGTTAAAGAAGGGCCCTTGCCTCTTTTTTTCTGGTAGAGAATACAGTTCAGTATGGTTAAAAAGGGAGCAGGGTCTTGTGGGTGTCCTCAAGTCCAGGTAATGGTTAGTAAATATGTAAAAGAAATGGTCAGGGAAACACAGAATATGGGACAGAGATGCACTTAAGATTTTCTTGCAGCTACAGATCAGCTTTTTTGAAGCTACAGATGTAGACACTTTGATAAAGCCTGTTATTTGGTGAAACGTGTTTGTGTATTTTACTGTATTATTTTGATTCTCAATAAAATTATATACCTTTTACTTATTCTGGATCCTCCTGCAAGATTGTTTTAGAAGATTTTATCAAGAGGACCACTTCGGCAATATCATTGGTGGGGATTTTATCACCTATGCGATTGGAAGTGAGTAAAAACGTTTTTGCTCCCCCTTCGTGAACCCGTGTTACCTCTTCTTTGATTTCCTTTTAATTTATTTATTTATATATTTTTTACCAGTGGACACTATTTGCTGTTTTATTCTTTTACTTAAATGTCCACAATGGTTATCTGCTGCTTTAAGCCAGGATGACCATTATTATTATTTTATTATTATTTATATAGCACCATCAGATTCCGTAGCGCTGTACAATGGGTGGACTAACAGACATGTAATTGTAACCAGACTACTGGACGTACAGAAACAGACAGATGGAGGGCCCTGCTTAATGAGCTTACATTCTAGAGGGAGTGGGGTATAGTCACACAAAGGGTGAAAGTAGGGGTATTATTTTTTATTATTATTTTATTCTTTATATAGCGTCAGCAAATTCCGTAGCAATGTACAGTCCATGCACTAAGATCCTGACACACCATCTGCCAAGGCCCTGTTTGACCAACATATTCATAGGCGGGGATTGTACCGCCCAGGCGCTATAATCTGTAGCTGAGTTGTAGCTCCAAAAAACCTTAAGTGCGTTGACAATTTACCAATTGTCAGAAGATGCTACACTGTATTGTGTTTCCTTGTCCTCTTCTTTTACATATCTGACAATTACCTGCCCACAAGGAGCTGCTCCCTTTTTACCATACTGAAGTGTATATATGCAATTCTTTTTTGTTGCACTAATTAGTATATACCCACCCAGAATGCCTTGCAGTAGTAACATCACTGCAAATTTGGGATTTCTCTGGGAAAAGCAAGTGGTATGGCTTGACTGGTGTGTGTAGATCTGTCTTTCACAATGTATTGACCATCTAATGACTTCAGGAGGAATGGGTACCTCCGTTGAAGGATGCTCCTAGCGCTTCCTGAGGACTCCAAGCACTCTGGCAGACACCACAATCACCGAACCGGAGAAACAAATAAATTCTCCCAAGCATATGAATGCTGTAGACAGTTGAATAGGAAACCATACGAATAGGTTTACCCTCCTAGCATAAAATTACATATTCACCATCAATCCATTCAGGGGAACAACATATTAAAAAATGGCATGAATCTGACCAGGGGTTCAAAAGTTAGTAAAAGTATCTTTTGGGCCCTGGCTGGCATATGGCTATCTGGCTCAAACAGGTTTTACAGAGCCCTCTATCCTGGAGACAATGGGGAAAAGTAATCCAATTATCCAGGGATAGAGGCAGACTCCATTGAGCACATGGTTGCAAAAAGACATAAAACACTTTAAAATACATAAAGTCACCTTTTACACACAACACACAGACATTTCACATATCCCCAGATAGCTGGGATCTGAGCGCACAAAACTACCGAATAGAGCTCAGATCCTATTCACACAGTTCAATTGCCATGGAGCCGAAGTCTTTAACTACACGAATGGGCTCCATGGCATAGCTATCTGGGTTAACACATTCACATAAAGTCTGGTCCATAGTCCAAAGGCAAGAGGCGGGCAAGCAGCCCCCTCCAAGGACACGTGGCGAGGCCGGTTTCGCCACATTTCTCCCCTTTACCATCCAGACTAACAGGGTATCTGACCTCCTGCCGGTCAGTGCCCTGGTTAGTCCAGCAACCCACCCACAAAGCACAAACAGCAATACAGCCCACCCACAATAACTGGTTACTACACCTGGATAAAATAGCAACTTGTCCATGTCAAGGTGCCTCACCACAGCTGTGCGGGGGGCTGGTAGACTGCCTTGGTGGGTTGCTGAGTGGGCAGAGACCAGCGGTACTCTGCCCGGGTGCCAGCGCTACCACTGAAGTAGCCTGGTTGTGGGAGGGGGAGACCGACTGCCGCTGGGGGGGAAGGACGACACCTTCAGCTCCCTGGGATACACACTGCCGCTGGAGAGGAAGGACAGCACCTTCTGCTCCCTGGGGTACACACTGCCGCTGGGGAGGAAGGACGACACCTTCAGCTCCCTGGGATACATACTGCCGCTGGGGAGGAAGGACAACACCTTCCGCTCCCTGGGACACACACTGCCGCTGGGGAGGAAGGACGACACCTTGGGCTCCCTGGGACTCACACTGCGGCTGGGGAGGAAGGACAACACCTTCTGCTCCCTGGGGTACACACTGCCACTGGGGAGGAAGGACGACATCTTCAGCTCCCTGGGGTACACCTTTGAGTCCCCGTAACGCACTCTGCCACCGGATAGGGCGGCCGATACCTTTGGATGGATCTGCCATGAACTGCAGGTACTCTGCTGTTAATTTCCTCACGAACTGTACGTATTCCTCAGCGGGGTTGGGTCCAAAGAAAGCCAACCGCATGGCAACCTCTCTGTCAAACCGCTCCTGAGTGTAGCCAGGCGCCATGCTTGCTCTGCCGCCGTTGGTTCCTTTGTAGATAGGGGCGCTGTACGGATACTAGCGTTGCCCTCACTTTGTAACTCCAAACGAACTGTGTCTCTGAGCTGCTTTACCTCGCACTAGGACGCCATCCCACCGCTTGCCACCAATGTAACGGATCACCTGGCACCCGACTGGGTACCTCCGTTGAAGGATGCTCCTAGCGCTTCCTGAGGACTCCAAGCACTCTGGCAGACACCACAATCACCGAACCGGAGAAACAAATAAATTCTCCCAAGCATTTGAATGCTGTAGACAATTGAATAGGAAACTATACGAATAGGTTTACCCTCCTAGCAGTCAAACTGGAACAGCATACAATAAATCCTTCCCCCAATAATGAGACAACACTTCACTTTGAGGGTTAAACAGGAACTCTATGCTGGCACATCCAGCCTGGTTTTTATTACAGCCTTTCACATACAGGACCGCCCACAGGGAGGTATAAAACAACCAATCACATATCAGTTACATCCCACATATTCCCTCCCATTATCCTGAGAGGAAACTCAATTACACATACAGTTAAAACATACTTTCTACCCAACTTTCATAACTCTAAAACCATACATCACATTCACATAAAATTACATATTCACAATCAATCCATTCAGGGGAACAACATATTAACAAATGGCATTAATCCGACCAGGGGTTCAAAAGTTAGTAAAAGTATCTTTTGGGCCCTGGCTGGCACATGGCTATCTGGCTCAAACAGGTTTTACAGAGCCCTCTATCCTGGAGACAATGGGGAAAAGTAATCCAATTATCCAGGGATAGAGGCAGACTCCATTGAGCACATGGTTGCAAAAAGACATAAAACACTTTAAAATACATAAAGTCACCTTTTACACATAACACACAGACATTTCACATATCCCCAGATAGCTGGGATCTGAGCGCACAAAACTACCGAAGAGCGCTCAGATCCTATTCACACAGTTCAATTGCCATGGAGCCGAAGTCTTTAACTACACGAATGGGCTCCATGGCATAGCTATCTGGGTTAACACATTCACATAAAGTCTGGTCCATAGTCCAAAGGCAAGAGGCGGGCAAGCAGCCCCCTCCAAGGACACGTGGCGAGGTCGGTTTCGCCACAGGGTTTTCAATCACTTTTTTTTTTCCACCATAACTTTTTTGGTCTATGCGTACTTTTAAATAGATACTTTGGGGGCACAGGGACTGTTGTGGGTGTTGCAATAGTAGCAATAATGGGGGATATGGACTATAGTAGGGGATAGTGGCTCTAGTTGGGGGTTGTGGCTATAGTGGGAAGAATAGTGGCTACTAAGCTGGAGGGATAGGTTCTTTAGTGGGAGGACAGGAGCTGTAGTGGGGGGATACATTCTGAGAGGCTTTATTGTGAGGGGGGATGGCCTAAACTGAATATTATTTTCCCCTTCCTGACCTTGTGGTCTGGAGGTACCTTCTTCTACACTGCTACACATGCACAAAGCTACACACACAGTTAGACATAATATACACATTGAAAGAAGTTTTTTGTATTTTATGTATTTTATTTCTCTTTTGTCACTCCCTGTGATATTACATAGCATCCTGTGATGTAATGTGTATATTATTAAGTATGTACATTAGCATGGTTGCTATTTTTGCCTAGAAAGGTGCCAACCCTACCATTTACTATACTTGTAACGAGTTTTATGGCAATGTTATTTGGATAGCTAAAGGCTATACTGGACGTTAAAGCCTATTTTCTGCTTACAAGAGAGGACTTCCATGTTTTATTCTCTCACAGAATCCATGGGGCTGGATAAACAGCAGAAGGCTCAGTTGAGTTGGAGAAATTAATAGGACTAAAACTCTGTGTGAAAGGCAACAATGACTTCATGATCTCTGTATCTCTGTCATGTTCTCTGTGATCTTCTAATCTTCTATAGCCTGCCTCTAAGGCTTAGAGTACACCATTTCCTACTACTGGCTTTTGTTATCTGAAACAAAGATCTCCTATTGGTTTCCTGGTTTAAAGAGTCTTCATTCTATTCTCTGACTACCTGTCAAAGCATTGTGTGCTTTCTTTTGTAGTCTTAAACGTTCTTTGGAAGTTACCGTACCAGCTTTGATGTTTTCAGAGTTTACATTGCTCATATTTACTTTGCTTTCCAATTGTAGGTTCAGTTTTCTAACTGTTTTCTCTGATGTAGTGACGTTGTTATGTCATGTTTAGTGTGAACTTTGTATTTTGTTACGGCTTTCAGCCATTCTTCCACACTTGGGGGTCTGATCTTTTGTCATTTTTCACCTTAATGAACCTTATCTTCCTGTAGTTCCGTAGTGGTAACTTTAGCTATTTTATTTGTCTTTCTATATTTCGTGACATTTCTGGGAAATTGTCTCTACTTTTCTGGTTCTTGTCACCTTAAAGGTTTGGGTGTTCACCTATTCATATATGCTGCCATGGTTAGACAGGAATAAGAAAATGTAATTATAGTTATCATGGTTTTCTTTTCCTAGTTATTACCCATGGCAGCATATAGTTCCTCCATTGATTAGCCTAATATTTACTTTGGGAGGTTTGGAACACAGATTAAGGGTCACATGACAAAAGTTTCTACTTCTAGAATTTGATCTTCTTCCCGTCCTATCGTATGTGCTGGACAGAGGAAAATAAAATTACAATAACTATGGATTTATCAATATTGTAGCAGCCAGAACCACTGCTGGATTATATTGTCTATGAGTGATTTATTTATTTATTTTTACTCGTAAACTGAATCGGAACTAAAAAAAAGATTATTTGATTTTTTTTAATTTGATTTTTGGACGTTGAATTTAGTGGTTTATCATAGATCTTATTTCACGGATGAAAAGATTTAACACCTGAGCACATGATTTGTTAGGATGTGTTTGTCGCTGTTTTCTTGAGACCCAATTCTCTTATCAAACCCTAACGAGGACTGCCGTAGGAGAATGCTCGCTAGACTCATGAAATTCTTTTTTTTTTGGATTTTACAGGCAATTAATTTAAGGAAAATACAGTAACTTGTATCCTATCCAAACATGTCAAAAACAATCTCCAAAGAATTAAATAAAGAGCTAATGTAAAATGAAAACTTTTTAGTACTTTTGTTTAATTAAACTATGTGTTTTGCTAAAATGTGTCATGAACCTTCACAACTATGGATGTTTTAAGCATTATAAGTCTACTCCAATATATTTTTTTTATTACATTTTATATGTGTGTTATTTTTTTAACCGCAGACTGGTCAAGATCACAAATTCTGAGGGATTAGCTATAACTACACATGTATAGGTCCCTGTGAAACTTTGCAGATGACTTCCTGGAATCATGGAAGGTTCTGCTGGAATTTTGCGTTCAAGTAACCAATTTGTCGTTTGTTATATAAAATGTATGTCAGGGCTGTAAAAATGAAAATGAACATAGCAGTGAGCAAACATCTTTTTACCCAATGGGGTTTTTCTGAGATTCAGTGCATTTATGACTTAGAAATGCTTACTGTATATTTCTTTCAACATCATTTCCCACTTTCTCATAATATATGTCTTTTTTTTTTTTTAAAGGACAGATACAGTGTTTGTCTGATGCTCTGTTTAAATATTTGATACATTACTAGATTATTTTAAAAATATTTAAAAATGAGGGGGGAATTAAACAAAAAACATTTTCACAGTTTTGCTTATAAAAAGATTTAGTTCAGGTAAAGAAAATATTTTTTAAATTGACTAATTCATTAGTCATGAATCTGGAAACACCTTATAAATCTAGAATGCCAATCAATTTTTGGAAGTTATAGGATAAAAAAAATGAAGCTAAATGTTTGCAAATGTTTATACTGCGAGGATTGAGAAACTTTGATAGTGCTCACTGAAACTAGAAGCACAACATAAAGTATATATTTGAAGAATTTTGACACTCTCAGGGAATTTACGCTTTGCATTTCATCATTTTATAACCCAATCATTGCCAAACCTGACTATGAGATTTGTGATTTTGACAAAGTCCAGAACATACTGGCCTAGTATATTTAAAACCTCAAATTTTATATATATATAACCTTAAAAGGGCACAATGGCAAGGGTCTGTAGAATTTTTTTTACTGAACTTGTAATTTACAAAAAGAAAATTTTATTCACTATAATATTTTCCACTAATATGAGTTTAATTGCTGTGGAGCTCTGGGATTTACATTACGACTGTGAGTTTGAAACATTCTCCGCTCCCAGTAAAGACAGTCACCACTCTACAAAAGAAGGACAAAGGAACTTCAGTCTGTAAAATTGTCTGTTATTCTTGAAGAGCGATAATTGCGTCATATTGATCTGGTATTGATCACTGACTAAATATTAATGAGAAACTGTCACGTCTCTGGAATTTACATAATCGAATAAAACATTGAAAATCACCTGTAACTGTTATAAGATACTTCTTTTATTTCAAATTTATATAAAAGATTTAGCTAATGAAATCATAAATCAGTTTAGACAAGAAAATGTCAGGGTAATTGCAAATGAAGAGGAGTTATAGAAACATAATTTTGTTTCCCCTCTTCTCTGTATGCTTTCTGTATGCCTGGAGCATAGGACAGAGTTTATAACATTGATTGACAGGGAGCTAAGATGCAGCAGCCATGTTGTGGGATAAATAGATATGGACTTACTATTACAACAATTTATATAGCGCCAACGTATTCTGCAGCGCTGTACGTAAGGTAAAACAGGACAAACGATTAATTCTAACAAAACACGTTTGACATTTACTTCAATTTTTTATATCTCATAAATATCTATTTGTTGAATACAGACATAAGTAAAGGTAATATTAAAATAAAACTGGATCATTTGTTTTAGAAGTAACTGGAGGGCAATAAAATAATAATGATAAGCAGAAAAAAAATTGGATCATGCAAGCCATAAAATTAAACATTAATCCGGTCTACAAGATATCATAAATAAAAGCAGTATCAGATCTAAAACAACAAAGTCGAGTACATAATCCCGGGGACCACATACGTAGAATATTAATAGAATACCCCCAACAAAAATCTTTGATTTAAAAAAAAGAAAAAAGAAATATTACCACACTTAAATCAGTTATCCAAAAAGCCTGCATAGTTTATGGAAGCATTATTTTTTCTTGGTGAGGCTTTCAGCAGTGAATGGGTTAAAGAACTCAGCCATAGTATATTAACGAGTTTGTATTATGTTTCATGAGAAGAAGATTAGCAATGTCACTGGATTACACTCCAATGTTTAAACAGTGTCTGCTGTATTTTTAGACACAGATTGAAAGTGACAGGAGATAAAATCAGCACACACTGTCTATATATATATCTTTGTCAGTGTTACACTCTGAACAGTGTTTTTACAGGAGTGAAGAGAGCTTAGTCTGACTGAATAAAAACAGACAGGGGATCTATCTTACACTAGTGATCTGCTACTCTGAACAGCTCGTACTTCTCTGGATTCTTAGGAAGTCAAGACAGCCATATCTATCATATGTTATATAGATGCACCGGTGCTTATTTACTAAGCTGTGAATTGTGGAGAATTGACAGGGAAATTGCAAATTGTAGGCCAGGACAATGGAAACATTCTCTAACTGTTTTTGGAGATAGCACGATACTTCCAAGAACAGCGTGTTAAACTAAACATTTATACAAACACAGTTTGGTCCAGAAAGCAATCAGTTGTCCTAGGTCTTGAGATCCCAAGATTTCTTGAGAGCTGTCTCACTTATAAATGTATGTAACCAGGAGTTAAAAGTGGTAGTCCGTATCCCACTGCTGGGCTGCACGAGGCTCTGGTTCACAGTCATTTCTGATCACATGAACAAACTGAGAGATAGACAGAGAATTATTTAGTGTGGGAGAAATTAAACCACACTTAGCACATTGATTAATTTCTGTGTATATCTAAACGTGTTCTCTTTGATAAAAATCGAACAGTCCTGAAATTCACTGGTAAAGAGTATCATGGAGATTAGACATATTAGATAGGTATATTAGATAAAACAGATTGACAGATTAGATTTAATAGATTAACAGATTAGATGTAGATAGACAGACAGATAGATATAGACAGATAGACAGACAGACAGATTTGTTTGTTTTTTTACAGGGGGGGTGTTTTTAATTCACATATGTGCACTGTATTTGCATCTATTGGTTTTCAACTGGCAACACAACAATTATTATTACTAATGGAATTACTAATGGTGATCAATTGATAGGTGAAGTAATTCAGAATTGGAAAGCTGGATTAGCTGAGTGATCTGGAAGGTAGAAGCTTCTAAACTGAGGAGGAGTAATAACTATGTTACTCCTGTATACCGGTATATTCCACTCTATGCTGGATTGCATATCCCATAAACCCTTGCTGGAAAGGCTGGAAAGCAATTGGGAAAACACAAGACCAAACAGTACTAATTTGTTGAAGCCACTTCTGCTGTTGCTGCTTGCCTGTAAATTAAAAGCCAAAGGGAATGGCCGCCTGCCAACGTCAAGGCAAACCCCATAGACGGGTCCTCCTCTGACCCTTCACCTTGCTTCCTTGAGCTGATGTGTACTGTGGTCATTGCTGCCGCCCAGGAGAGATGGGAGTGAGCGCAAGACTTTCCTTTTTGTATTTGTATTCACTTTTTGTATCACACAGCTAGGTTACAATGCTGCCGCCCATCTCATGTGTTCCCTTTTAAGGGTTAACAAGTATGTAGGGGTGTGTATAAAAAAATACCCCTTTCTGTCTCAATAGAGATATTTTTACCATAAGCTCAAGGAAGCAAGGTGAAAAGTCAGAGAAGAACCCATCTAGGGGGTCTGCCTGGACGTTGGCAGGCGGGCATTCCCTCCAGTGGCCATTGGAGTAACTAAATGACCTCCATTTATTTAAATATACATAGGGATTAAGGAGAGAGCGCAGGTAACATTTTTCCTTTGGTTTTTACAATATGTATTAGCTGATGTGTATTGTAGTCGTTGCTGCCGCCCAGGAGTGATGGGAGTGAGCGCAGGACTTTTCTTTTTGTATTTGTAAATTAAAAGCGTTAAAATGAAATATCTATTTATATAGTTTGTTTTCTAAATGTTACTTTCTTGAAACATTATATTATCTATAATACGTAGTAAAATATTAAATAACGAATTCCTTTGGTGAATAGGTGTTTAGCACAGACGTTGCAGTACTAGTAGCTGACTTGTTCTTGCAGGGCTTATATGGAGAATATTAAAATCTTTCCACATTAATTGGTTTTCTAAAAAATATCTAATGTTTGGGAATGTAAGAAAGATATCAAACAGGAGGAAGGTATCTAGAAATAAGTATAAACTATTGTCTTATTTCCTCCTACAAAATGAATACTCAAGATGAATCTCACAAGAATCGCACATGGGTAACGTCGAAGTGTATTCTAGATTGAACTTGACAATTATTTCTACCTTAAATAAAT